AAAAGTCCAAGTTATTGTAGAGATTAACTGGACTTGATATGTTGTGCTTAAGCTATGGAGGCTCATAGACCATATAAGAAGGTTTTACTGGTTTCATTCGAAAGATGGGAACTCCCACATATCCATGTTGATAAGACCCCTAACCTACTTAAGGAGAGAGGGAAGGAGTTGAAGACATGGATCTCCTCTGCACCATGGCTAAGAGATGCAAGTTTGTCGGCATGTTTATTTGCTTCTCTAAAGCAATGACTTATGTGATATCCATGATCTCCAACTATTTTCATAATTTCTTGGATCATATCTTTGATTCTCCAAGGGGTTTCTATTCTTTATTGGAGTAATTTACCAGGAGCAAAGAATCGATTAAAGACATTTGTGAGACCTTTATCCGCACACCCATTTAAGGCCATATAGTAAGGCTGCTGTTTTAAGTTTTGTGTGCCAGCCCTTAGATTGATTGAGTAGGCAAATATAGTATGACCAAAAGAGTCTCGAATCAGTCCTCCTCCTCCGCAAGCACCTTGAAGGCAGCTACCATCACTATTGAGTTTAAAAGTCCTAGCAGGAAGTTTAATCCATTTAACGGGATTGCTGATATGTTGATGAATATTGGCATCAAAAATGTTGGAAAGACTTCGCCACATCTCCCCTATATTTACTTTTCCAAACTTCCTCCTCGTGATCTGCAAAAGAGTGAATAGGATATTAACATTAGTTCTGTAAGGAGAGGGGTTAACTTTCTCAAATTTGTTAGCACATCTCGTCTTCCAGATTTCCCAACAAATGGGGGAAGGCTTGGATAATGAAAGACGCTATGGGATTGTTGGTATGGGTGTTCCACCATTTAAGTAAAATAAGTTTTAGAGAATTCTGGATCAGTCTCACACCCAGAGAATTCACAATACTTCGCCAAATATATTTTGCAAAGTTCCCTTTGCAAAAAAGATGATCGGCAGTTTTCAGTGAGTTATTATCAGGGATATTCACACAACAGTAGCATCCAGGCACAATATTGATGCCTAGTTTTGCCACTTGATCATCCATTGAGAGTCTATTCTAAACAGCTCTCCAAGTAAGGAAACACATCTTAAAGGGGATGGCACAATTCCAAATCTTACTAGTAGCAATGTTGGAAGATCTTTTATTTCTTATAATCTTATTTTTTACATCTTCAGAGAGATCTCCCTGAATAGAGTTCCAATTCCAGACACTATTGTTATAAACTATGTTAAGCTTGATCAAGATATTTCCTTCAATATCGGGTTGAAGTAAGTAAAGAGGTCCTAAGCTTGACCAATTGTCAAACCAAAAATCTATCTCTCCTCTACCAATTTTCTAGGAAATGTGATTCTCCGTATCTGATATGGCTTCACACATAGCTTTCTAACATTAAGGTGTAAGACTTGCTTACTTATATATATGACCAACATCTTTCATGTGTTTTGTCAGTGTGAAACTTTTTATCCTAAGTTTGGCTATCACACAGACTTTCTAACGTTAGACCACACACATTCCGAGGTAGGAGGGAATCTAGACATCAATTTTTAGTATATATATATATATATATATATATAATATAGAGGAGAGAGAGAGAGAGAGAATTTCCTCGACTCTTTCATGTGTTTACTTTCATATAATTATATATGTTTATTATGACATGATGTTGTCAAATATAGACACCCTCACACCCTAGGCACTAGTTATAGCTAGGTAGGATATTATAGTATTTCAACTAAGGCAAGTGAGGAAGCTAAAGATCTTTTTTTTTATTACTATTTTTATGTATACACATATAACATCTAGATGAAAATCCCTCATCCACACTAAACAATGGGTAGATGTGATTATTTAAGTAAAATTAAAAAGAATGAATAAGAATATGGATTAGGTGTATCAAATATGACACCATTGGACAAGAGGGTGGTCCTATATATCCCATATTGTAAACGTGGTTCTACAAGAGGTACAAAATTCAATAATTGACACTTTGTTCTATTGGGTGCTATGATTAAATCAGAATGATTTTATTTATTTATTTATTTATTGAAGTTATAGAAGAACTTATCATTGTGATACTAAGGGCGCATTTGGTACGGAGGAAAATGTTTGTCATGGAAAATGCTTTCCTAGAAAATGTTTTTTTTAGAAAACAAGCGAATTTCTAACTTATTTTTTCAGGATTGGTTGGTAAGTAGTAGTGACCCGGAAACCAACCCCGACAATCGATCTACAACACGACCCAACACACGGACTAGGACACAACCCCGACGATCGATTAGAAATTCGATCCTAAGATATGACCTAGGACTTGACCCGACTCAAGACCTGAGACTCAACATTTGAATCTGGGACCGAATATCTAACCCAGGATCTGACCCTGACACACAAACTTGGACTCAATCGAACAATCTGGGATTCAACCCCAACGCATGAATCGAGACCCAACTTCCAAACCAGGAGCTGACCTCAACAACCAACAACCGATGTGAGATCCAACATTAGATTTTCAAATTGAGATTTCGACCCCAACTTTCGAACTGAGACCCTACTACACCTGAATCAGAACCTAACTTTCAAACTGAGATTTTTTACTTTTACTTTTTAAAAAAAAACAATTTTTTTCCTTTTTTTTGGAGGGGGGAATTGGGGTAGGGTGAGGTAAAAAAAAAAAAAATTAAAATTTTGAAAATAGTTTTCGAAACAAACTCTTAATTATTTTTTTTTGGGGGGGGGGGTGGTAGGATAGGTTCGGCGTAGGGGTGGGGTAAAAAAAAAAATATTTTCTAAAAACAATTTTTTTTTGGGTGGGGGCTGGTAGGGAATTGGGGTAGGTATGAGTTAAAAAAATGAAAATTTTAACTTTTTTTTCAAAACCAAACTTTTCGTGGGGGTGGGGGGTGGGGTGGGGTAAAAATAAATTGATTTTTCAAAAATAAAATTTTGCTGTTTTTGGTTGGGGGAGGGGCTGAGGCTGGCTATGGGGATCGGGTAGAGGTAAAACAAATTGAAATTTTTAATATTTTAATTTTAATTTGGATGGGGAAGGTCGGGATATGAGGTGGGCTAAGAAAAAAAGATTGTAATTCGAGATTAACGGAGAGTTTTGAAAAATATTCTTCTTAATTATTTTTTTAAGGAAAATCATTTTATTTAAATTTGAAGAAAATAAATTAATTTGAAAAATATTTAAATCAATCAAACATGAGAAAATTAAAGAAAATATTTTTCTTCATACCAAACATACCCTAAAACTTACTTTAAGTTACTAAAGTTGAAATTTAGCATTAAAATTCCAAGTTTTTTCTATCCTCTCAAAGGCTCTACAATAGCAGTTATACCTATGTATAAGAATACTGATTTTGTAATTTAAATGATATAGAACTACAAAAACAACTATTATTAGTATTTATTCCAAATTGATTAGCTCTATCAATCTTCCTAAAGCTCTTGCTAGATTGGGCGGCAGAATAGAAGTCTCACTACTAGCTTTTAGTCTTAAGCAGGCAGCGACGATCGGGAATGCATGTTATTTTAATTTATTTAGTCGATTTATTTTGATCTAACTAAATAAGTATTACTATTAAATAACTTTTTTTAATATAGTGGATAAGTAAAGCTGGACGGAGAGTGTATGAAAGAAAACCCTCTTTATTATAAATCTCCCACTCCATACCTCAACTAACTACTCTCCCCCCACACACACAACATGAAGAAACTTACCTTCTTTCTTCTTGTCATTTTTCTACTTGAAATAACAATTTCTGTTGACTCTCAAAATCCAGCACTCTTGAAATTTGTGCTTCAATGGCCACCAACTTATTGTATAGGACTGAATTCTGCAGCACAACCAGGCAGGTGCAAAGAGCCAATTCTTCAGCATAATTTGACACTCCATGGAGTTTGGCCAGCAGATCAAAGAGGAATTAGTATTACATGCACTGCACCACCAGATCCAAATTGGAATCAACTGGTACGTACTGACTTTTTAGTCACAAGAGTTTATGTTTTATGCACTGATAGATGTTAGATGTTAAATTAGTTTATATGTATATATAATCTAGTGATCATATACATATATGTTTATATAATAACGGGTTACTTATTGTAAACATCTTTTTTTTTTTTATCAAACTCTAATTTTTTACATTATTTTTTAATGATTTGATGTTCTTTAGGTCAAATCTTTGACATTTTGACTTTTATTTTAAAAAAAATGAAAATCACAAAAATAGTCGCATTTTAGATGTAAAATTTGTTTCATTTGAAAAAAGAAAGAAATTTACAAACAAAAAAAAGTGTTTTCTTTTTAAATTAAACAAGCGCACTTTTGATGAATAAGCTAATAATTTTTTCAGTAGGTCTTTAGGTGGCATTATTATTAGGTTATCCATGGTTTGATGCTCATTATAAAGATATTTAATGTCATTATCTATTAAATGATTTGATGGTGTATATATATTTTTTTGTAGTTTACAACGACTATAGAGAATCAACTGATGGCGTTCTGGCCACCACTTAGAGAAAACTCCCAAAAAAGGGACCTATGGAAGCACGAGTGGCGCGCGCATGGAGCATGTGGAGGAACAACACCACAAGTATACTTCAACATAGCAATAAGGATCAACAACATGCTTCAAAAGGGCAACTTGTTCAATTACTTGAAAACAAATGGGATTATTGCTTGTGATAGCTTGTCTTTTGCTAGAAAAGATATTGTTGATGCTATTCGAAAGGTGTTTGTTGTAACTCCTCCTCCCTCTCCTCCTCCTCCCCGTTCCCCTCCTCCTCCTTCTCGTTCCCCTCCTCCCCGTTCCCCTCCTCCTCCTCCTCGTTCCCCTCCTCCCCGTTCTCCTCCTCCACCTCCCCTCCTCCTCCCCTTGATGTTTACCTAACATGTATTCCAATTGATTCAAAAAATAGAACTCATGTTTACTTGAAAGAGGTTACCTTGTGCACTAATTTGGATGGCACTAGTTTCATTTCATGCCCTTCACAATCTGCTCCAACAAGCTGTTCTACTGGAGCTAGGATTATGCTACCTCATCCAAAACCTCAACCGTAAGAATCTGCAACTTTACTCGCATTCAATATTTTTAATTAGCCAATTTCCGACTGATTCTGTTGGAAATTTTGGCTAAACTAATGTTTTTCTAGTAGTTATGTGATAATATTTGCATAACTATAACACTTTTGAAAGTTTCTGGTCTTAAACATGTTAGAAGATCATATTAAGTAAGTAGGAGTACTTCTTTTCTTATGTGTTTTTAATTTGAACGGATAAGAAGTTTAAGAGAAGTAAGGTAACTTTTAAAAGTTTATAGTATTAAAACTAAAACTATAATTTTTTTATTTTTACGTTACATTAATTATACCTTTATTATTTTTTGTAGGTCACTATCGCCGTCACCGCCACCGCTACCACGGAGATTTCAAGAAGAAATAGATGTAGATGGGATATATCCTAAGTTTGAACAATCATGGACTAAATATATATTCAACGGCTGAGATTAATGTTTGGCTTAAAATAATAAAGGAAATTAAAAAAGAAAAGAAAAAAGACAGATAATAAAATATGATGTAGCTGATGACGTGTAAGAATAATGCACACTCTCTGAGTGAAAATAACTTATTATCTTGAATAAAACTTTTATTCTATTCTCTCTCTTAATATTAGTTTTCAAGGTACTTAAAGTCTCAAACAAAAAATTTAGCACAATATTCATGTTTATCAATTTTTTCGGGATTGGGTCAATTACGTTTATTAAATATTCATGTTTATCAATTTTTTCGAGATTGGGTCAATTACGTTTATTAGAATTCGATAGTAAAATAATTTTACTAGCAAGACAAATATATGTATTACTGTAAACATTTGCTCATAATGAGCTATATGTGATTGTTTAGAATCATTTTTAAATCTGAATTTGCTTTAAAAGTTGAATTATGTAGACGGAGATTAAAATAAATTGTCAAATATTTTCAAGCTATAGGTAGATAGGTAAACTTCACTTATTGAATTTATTTATTATTATTTTTACAAAAAAGTTCACATTTATAAATGATTATAATTAAAATTACCTAAATCTAGATTAGGCTAGGAATTTTCAAGTTACTATCAAAAAAATTTTCGACCCAAATTTTTTCTCCGTTGACTTTTTTATAACGATGGAAGCAGGTTGTGACAAAAGGTTACAATGGATAATAAGTAAACTTTATGCATTCATTAGTTTAATTTAAACATGATATTTTGTGGCTTTGAAGATCACAATGGGCGGATCTAGAAGCCCAATTATAGGTTCACATGAATCTAGTAATTTTTGCTTCGATCCTTTATATTAATGAATTTACAAGATATTTATAAATATTTGATCATGAATTTATTTATTATTATAGTATTAACTTGAGCTTACGATAGAAACTCATAAATATCAAATTATAAATCTGCCTTTGAAGGCCATGCTATTACAAGAAATAGACGACTCCTGCCCAAACACAAATAGGACTATCAACTCATGAGGATTGATTTGTTGAATTTGTGTAATATAATAGACAAATTGTGATTCGACCCTTCTTTGGGCCTTATTCATTACTAGAGCTCTAGAAGTACCAAGCAAATTTTTCGTTCTAATTTTGGTCAATATTTTATAATATAATATTTATTATATTTACATGAGAAAAAAATGTAACTTATAATACATTGTGTATAGTTTTTGAATATTTGAATTTGAATTTTAAATTATTAAGTTAATCTAATTTAATTTAGCGTAAAAAATTAATTAAATTGACTCCCAAAAATAAAAAATATCACATAAGGTTTGAGGATATATAGGTCTAAGATAGTCCGTCGTTAAATGTATCTTTAAGCAATTTTGATTGCCAAAAGCATTAAAACATTTTGATTTTCGTCAAATATTTAACCAACTTTGATTATTAGATTTAATAAAAAAATTGAAAAAATAAGTAACGGAAATTCATTTTTTTTATTTCATATCACTATATTTTACATGAAAGTGATTACTCCTTGTCCTATCCATGATTGATTAAATACTTATTTGTTGTATTTATATTGGGTACACCTAAAATGTTTGATATGTTGTAAAGTAGTTTTCATTTACGTGAAATTGGATGTATTTTCTTTTGGTGAGTATTATATGGTATAATTATTAAAACTGGTTGCTTCATTTTCTCACATATTTAAGGGGATAGTTAAGGCTCTAAACATTTCGATCAACTAATTTGTAATATATAATAGCTAGGTTATGCATACTTATATCAAATACACATAAACAAGATTGTATAGATCGTATATATTTGATCATATTGATAAATTAGTTGGTTGAACTATCGAACTATGTATCTATCTATCTATCTTGACTTGTTCATGTATTTACTTTCATAATTATGTTTAACTATGGCATGATATTGTCGAATATATTGAAAATGAATTATGAGATGAACCTAATATGAACGAGATTAGATTTTTACTAATATGAGTTTGGGATGCTAATAGTTGAGATGGTTCACTCAATGGAAGTGATTAAGTTAAGCACACTAAATGTTGATCACGAAACTCTAGGCATGAGTATCAGTAGATAATATTATATCAATTTTGTGGGTAATGCTAAATGACTAGAAATATTTGGCCAGAAATGTAAAAAGACTAGAATATCCTTGTTTTAATTTTTGCATTTATTTCCTCAATACTTTTCACTCCAAACAAAACTAACTTTTTTATATTTCCCAAACTCCTTGAGCTACTAAAACACAAACTATTTGGCTGCCAAGGAAAATGAAAAAATGTTTTTGTGTATATTTTTGTGTGTGTATAGTTTATCCGATTTATTTTTAAAAATAAATATTGTTTAGTTAATAAAAAAATTGTATGCTTTAGTTAAAAAAATATTTTTGTAATTTTGTTTTTTATACATTATATACCAAATTATGTTCTACATATACATAACATACATTCCTTCCTCTACCCCTCCCCTGAACTCAATTATGATCATAAGGTGCCAACGCATACCTTTGAAAAATTATTTTTTCGCTTAAAATAAACCTCTTTATTGAAAAGAGACAATTAAATTTCTCATTAATAATAACTACAAATGACTATATTATCTACTTAAGATTATACTTAATTATTATGTAATACAAAATTAGTAAAATATAGTAATTAACCGTAGATTAAAAGAGTTTAATTAAATTTTTCTTTAAATATAATCAACTAAATAGATTAGTCTATATAATGGATGTTTTTCAAGAGAATTTTTTTTTTTTTTGAAATTTAGATATTTCTAAATATAATTGATGATAAGACATATATAACTATGCCATAAATAATACATTAATTTTTTATATTATAATCATTCCACACAAGAATTAACATATATAGAAAATGGTGAAATTATTTCACTAATTTTAACCATGAATGAAAAATTCAGTTATTCCAATAATATTAATTAAGTGGATATTTCAAAACAAATGAATAAAAGATCACTCAATACCTACCTATCAATTATAATACTTTAAAATAGATGTATTTTATGTATATAATAAATTACAATATGTTTAATGTGTATAAATAAAGTATAACATAACTAGGATATATATTTTTTTAAAAATATTTTCATTTAATGTAGAATTTTAATATTTCAATAACGATAATCAAAACTCAAAATACTTAAGAATTGATAGACATCGGCACATTATAGAAATACATAAAAAAATTATTAATATGTAGTTTAATTTTTAAATATGTAGTTGTAAATACGTAGTTTAATTTTTTTAAAACATAATAATCAAACATAAAATTTAAATATGTAGTTTAATTTTTCAAAACATAATAATTAACAAATATGCAATATTACAACATTAATGTGTAACTATCTTGGGTTATTGTTAAATAGGATCTACACTTATGAACCATATGATTTTTAGTATTTCTTTAATGTGTTGATGTCTACCAATTCTAAAGTATTTTAAGTTTTGATTGTTATTATTGAACTATTTACATTATATATAAAAAATTATTTTAAATATAATTTAAATAATTATTTAAATAGGTAATTTAAATTTATTTATATAATAAATGCAATAAAATAACTTAATTTTAAAAATTCTTAATCAGTTTGAAACAAATATTAATTTGAGAGAAAAAAATAAATACTAATATTGTGACTACAACTATGTGTAACATCCGACAATTTAAAATGAATATGAAGAAGCTTGAATTGGAAGTAGTCATTTTTTTTGGAAAAATTCAGAATCTGGAAATTTGGCTAAATTCAAAATCTGGAAATTTGGCTAAGTGTGAAAATCAGTGAGTTTTTGGCCAACTTTGAGCAGTCATAACTCCTAGCTCAGGATGAGTTAGGAGTAGTTCTAGTTATGGTTGTGAAACTTGTGGAACGATCTTTCCAACACAACCAAGTTTGCTCGATTCTGAGTTCGTATGAGCGAGTTATGCCCTTTGAAAGTTGGGCAGTTGGCAGGGAGTCCGTCCGGAAATTTAAGGGCATTTTGATCTTTTCACAAATCATTTCTTTTGAGGTTATATTGTTGTGTTAGGCTGTTTGTGGATCATTTTTGTTCCATTTTAAAAGAGAGAAAGTTAGGGTTCTTGAGAGTGAAGAAGAGAAGAAGAGGAGAAGAAGAAGAGATCAACAAGTTTCCGTCGTGGAATTTCGTCGGGGGTGATCCCTATCAAGGTATGTGAGTTCTTTAGTGTGGGTTGATCCTTTCCCCCACACACCAAACTCATTTTATGATTTGAGAAAATATTAGATTTGTTGTTGAAGTTGTTAGTTGTTGTTGATGTTGTTAGTTGTGTTGTAGAAGTTATTGTTGGTTGTGGGACATGATTTGGTTGTGTTCTTGAGTTGAATCTCTTGTA